TGCCTGCTGACAAATCTTGTCGATCCACGACATCGGTGAGAATAGATTCATCGAAACTCTGCCGACTTATTCTGTCCTTCTCCTCTAACATATTACCCGTTTCTTTGGGCGACAGCTCTTCATCAAGTTGTGTACCATTTAAATAAGGTTCAGCGGTTACTAAAGTTGAGTCAATTTCGTCAATTTTACATTCTATTTCTGCAGGTATTGGAGATAAAGGTCTAGACAGTCTGAAACAAGAATAACCATGTTCATTACATTGTTTTTGCTATTATTATATTAAAATCTCATTAGACATAATTTATGATCTAAGAAGCTTATAACATTCAAATAACTTACGTAACATTGGCAGCAAGGGATAGTCCACTTTCTAAGCAATGCGGTAACAACGACACTAGTGTCAAGAGCGCAGCAGACACTGTCCCCGCAGGCGAGCCGTAGATAAGTACTTTACGTCTCAGTAACATCAATTTGAATAATAATAAAGCTTTATGTTTCCAACTCTCTACCAATTTTTGCACAGATAAACCTGAAAGAATATTATTAAAATTAGTAGAAACAAGTTTTATGCTAAATTGATAATTTATGTTACAATTTTATGATTTATTCAAGTATTACATTCAACAAAGAAATACTTAAAAAACATTAAAAAGAGCATGGGGACAAGCATAGCCAGGTATAACGATAGTGTGGCTGTGATAAGCCAATATGCAAGTAAAAGGCAGACAGCTAGTGCTATCTTTGTCATAATTGGATTAAATGACAAAAAGGCTTATTAGTAAAGAGATAGAACTGATATTCATAATGAACCTTATATTTAAATCTTTATTGAACAAGTTTTTACAATTAATCAGGTAGAGATTATAATTACACACTTTTGTTTGTAACATAATCTATTACTCAGTCAATCTATATAAACATGAATCAGCATTTTGTTCCCTATGTTATGAATATTTTTTATAATAAACTTTAAAACTACATGAAATATTGAAGGTTTAGGTTTCTGGAAAAATTATGTTGAAGGAAATTAGGATAACATGTGTAATATTTAGAAATTATACCCACATAAAAACTGCATGTAAAAATAATCTACTAAAGCCTTACAAATAAATGTTGTATGAAGTTAAACTTAGGGATAAGATGAGCATAAACTAAGTTTATTCCTAAGTTTAACTTTATACCATGTTTATTTGTAAGGCTGCTTTAGTCCATCCTATTTTAAGAGGAAAGGAAGAATGAGAAGTGGAATGGATACGTTGGAAGGGAACATACTCTTTCTATGTGTTTGTTTCTTTGTTATTAAAAGGTCTACAAATGTAGATGTCTTCTATTTTTCTTAATAAAATTGGCTACTTGTTTGCCACCATATAATATAAAAAAAGTTGGCGTAACCATACCTTCTAAAGTTTGGTCAATCTGCACTGGGCAACTATTCAAATGATTATATGCATCTTCAAGGAGTTTTGTTTGGGAGAAGTCACCCTGGAGAAACCAAGCTCGTACAACAAGCTCCATTTTAACGGCAAGCCGACCAAAGAGCGGTGCTCGGCAGACTACGCATACACTCTTTTGTACCGAACTTCGGGTCATATCTTCGGTTTTCTGAACAACTTCCTGTATTTAATTTAAAAAAAATATATTAGTCATGTTCTTGTGTTTCATGTTCATGAATCATTAGATCAAATATATTACAAAATGCTGTTAACAAAATTTATATCTTACATCATTATAAGCTTAAAGAAGTAACATATCTTTTTCTTCTATTATAGGATACTTAAATTTGATATCGTAAATAGTTAAATTGAATACAACATAAATCACATTGTAAACTAGAGCAGGCACAGATCATGGATCTCTATTTGGCGCAATACTGACACAACTCTGGCATTTTCTACACACAAACATTTACACATATATGTTCATCTGTTTGCTTTAGATTGCCCTCTTGAATTTTCGTCACACTGGACTGTATACTCCCAAACAGCCATGGAATGGCAGTAAATTCACTTATACAGTAAATTTTCTTTTATCATGCTCAAACTATCAAAGTGTGCTTTTTTCAAAAAGCCACTGGAAAAATTGTGTCAATCTGTTTTTTAATAAAAAATTAACATGTTGGTGATTTACCTCCACAGGAATTTGTCGAAAACATGAAATGCCATAAACAGTATGGGCAGGCTCAGACAGACCAGGCAAATTGAAGAATATTGTGTCAGAAAGATAGTTGTGAGATCCATCTGGTAATGCTAAAGCTGGCAAATGCCGCCAGGGAGCAGGCAGCTCGCATGGTTTGCCAGGTATTAGCTCAGGATAGCAATGCTCTACCTAAAACAAGTATGGTTGAAATGTTAAAAAAAATATAGGGACATGCAATGATTCGAAAACTTAGTACTAAATGGAACATGATACAAAAAATTTCGACATTAAAGTTTAAATATCCAAATGGTATTTAAATTAAAGCCATGATTTTAAATAAAAATAATCATATATGATTTTGCAAAATCTAGTTAATTATAACATACATGGCAAATAAATCTCTTTCAAATGGTGATATGCCGATTGCTATTGTTCGATATTAAATTATTTTTATTATATATTTAGATATTGGAAAAAATAAAATCGATTAAAGTCATGACGCCTACATACCTGGCAGCCTCTTTTGTGGTGAAACCCCACTACTATAATATTTAAAACAGGATCATTAATAAAAGACATTTTACTTGGTAATTTGAAAAACTATTCCTAACATTTTACAATGATTTTGATACTGAAAAGTAATAAAATATTGACGAAAAGCGTTCATAACATAGCAATTGATAGCAATCACAGATTACAGATAGTTACCAAAGAGTAGTCTACGCAGAGCAGCAACAGAGGAATGTCAACAATTTCAAAACAAATAAAAAATAATTGAAAAGTCTCCTCTTTCAAAGAACAAAATCAAAGTGTATTTCATATTGGCGCCCCAAGCAAAAGTTTTTAAAAACCAAAGTACTAAAAACAGCTGTAAAAAAGGTAAGGTGGTTTTAGAGGGCACATTTTTTTCACCGTAATCGGTGAACATGGCACCCTTACCGTAGTTCAAGTTATCTATTGAAAATTTATGGTTAAAACGAAGTTATATTATCAAATAAAGGCAACCACTTACCACTTAAGTGAAAAAGTTTCATACCCAAAAATTTCGGAATTAATGAATTTTGATTTGATGTCCCACGTTTCGATCACGATCACGAGTCGATGATGCGAGGCTATTTTTTTTAGTACTATAAGTTCCCGTGATCCTCTGAATATGTGGGACTGGAAAGTACTAAAAATAGCATGGGGCTTCAAAAAGTATTAAAACATGCTAAACAGCATCGAATAACTATAGTTTTTATTAGAATATATGTTTCCGTAGTGTGCGTCGGTAGCTCAGGAGTTAAGCATTTGATTTCTAAACAGCTGGTCCTGGGTTTAAATCTCTACATAAACCAATGTGTTTTTATCGACCAATTCTCAGGGCAAAGGAAAACAATGTGCTACAAATTGCACATAATACCTGCGAGGAAATCCAAAGATATGTGTATAGCCAACGAACCCGCACTGGGTCAGTGTGATTGACTTTGACCTCTAGTCACCACTAGTCACCACAAAGTTAGGGTAGACCCTGAGCCCTCAGTAAGGACTTGTAGCGAGATGATTATAATATAGGTAGCTTTAAAAAAATACATATCACTGTTATTTATAAAAATAAGTATATTTCCAAAAGCTCCTTCAATTTATTTCACTTCATTGTGCCATTACTTTTTCATTCTTTTATACCATAGAATCGATAAACTGTGCGCGTTGCTTATTACGTCATTCATTCATTTTGAACGTGTCATATTGGTGTCATATCTCATCTGTGGTTTGTGCTTGCAAATATCAGGAATTGCGAACGATTAAAAAAATTGTGTTGTTGTTGTTGTGTTTGGACTGAATAGAAATGTTTTTTCTCCAAAATATATCAAAAATAAAATACAGTGTTTGATACAGTTTAGATGTTTATTCTTCTTTTATTTATTTTTGATACCAAGATGACTTAATATTCATAAACTAAAGTTACTTGTGTACTTTAAATATTTCGTCGCCATTTTCGCACCTATTGTCGGAAAACTTTTGGTTTTTAACGTTTTGTATTATTAGTTAAATTACGTAATTAATGTCATCATATTCGTTGTGATTGAAATTAAAGTGGAAAAACCTTACTCCAACTAGTGTTTATCGTTTCATTCGTTAGACGGTGGCTCCTGTTAAAGGTTAGATTTTTTTTAATTTATATCAGTAAAGATTATTATAAGTTCATTATAAATACGTTTAATTGTGTTAGCACATTTTTATTTTGCATCTATGGGTAAAAAGTTGGATAAATCTTATAGATCAAAAGTCATATTGATATTGGTTGATAATTTTACTGCAATTTCGAAGTTTAAAAATTACATATACGTTAGTTCTACCACCATGTTTTACTATATATTTATTTATTACTTTTGATATAACATACTTTTTTCTAATTGAAAATTATACCAGAAATGTCCACAATTTAAATTTGATTGTAACTGATAAAAATGTAATCTTTTATATATATATATGCAATTGAAAAAGATACAGAGTTTTGTTTTGGATAATGCTTCTTGAAAGTTAAAGAACTTTTAAACTGCAACAATAACATCAAACAAGCAGATCTTGTGTTATTCACTAGACTTAAGTCTAGATTTGGTACATTCTTTAACTGAAACATGCATCTTAAATGGCAATGAATTACTTAACTTCTACAATAATATATTTTAATTTAACAAATACATCTCCATTTATCATAATTATCTCTACTATCATATTAAATAACGGCAAAAAACCCTTTCCCATACACTTTAAAGTTTGTGTGAATTAATTTCTTTGTACCCTGCCTCACAAGGTACATTTATGAGGTTTTTTTTTGTGACTTATTACCAAATTATTCAATTCATATTCCTTCAGAGTATAATCCTTCAAAGGATCAGTTAAAAAAAAATCATACTTTTAAATTGACTTTCATGTTGCCGAGGCAGGTGTGTTACTAAATATTAATTTTATTTACTTAATGAGTGTGGTAAATTTTTTTCTCAATATTATGCATGGCTGACATTAAACTTGAACTTGTGGGTACTAAAGGTTGTACAGGTGTTATTTGCTTCATGTCAGTTTATATTCAAGGCCAGCAAGTTATCCCTTTACAATGTAAAAGACAGATATTTTCTTGTTTCCAGGATTCAATGGGGAACGCTTTAGACCCGTAGGCATGACTGAGAAGGTTTTATACCCAGGTAAGTAGGTAGATATCACAAATATTTGTCAATGTAAGATAACTGGTATACGGTTTTTAAATTAAGAAAAAAAACATAAAAGTTGTTTATCTGTAAAATACATCGTTTTTTTTTCATATGAATTATGACACATATAAATACAGTTCTCCTTCTATGTTATTTTTATGTTAAATGTGTTATTAAATTTAATATTGTTGATAAGTTAGATTAAATTTTTATCTAAATAAATGTTTTGCGTTTGGAAGTTCTGGATGAGAAAAATAGGGAGACAGGGTAGGAAATATCTGCCCCCAAATGTAAGACTTCCGGTGCACGTGTACGAACTTCTTGTCACGCGGAAAATAACACGAATGACGCACTCCAAACTGAACATCATAGTTAATTAACTTATTTTCAACTTAAGATAAATACAATTGTGTTACGGCTTATGTTTTTTTGTGACCAATGGTAGGTAGATTAATTTGTTGTCATGAGACAAAATTAAGCTTATCGTTTTTACCATATAATGTGAATGTTTCACAAATTATACGCAATGTTTTTATTCTAAGTAAGACTAATACTAATATTATAAAGAGGAAAGATGGTTATTTTTGTATGTATTGAAATAACTAAAAAACTGCTAGGTAAAAGAATGCAAAAATTCTTTACCATTGAAAAGCTACGTTAGCAGTGAGTGACAGGCTATTATTCTTATTAATTTTTAAATTCACGCGGACGAAGTCTCGAGCAACAGCTAGTGTAAGATAAACTAGTAACTAATTATGTTTTTACACGGTATTTGTGATACGCATGCTTAACAAAGGAAATTTTATAAACACAAGATACTTTTCAATGCCATTGTAGCAATAAACAGCTTTATTATTATTTATTTCGAATTATATATAGGTTACAGCTGATTACTATATAAACCTATGTGCTAAATGTGATATCAATAACTTATAAGAATTTAATATTATTTAACAAATATATTAAAATACTCGACGTTTCACAATACGCACATAAATACTATTGAACGACACCAAACTCGAAAAATCGGATAACTCTATATCATAGGCTACTGAATTCTACAATGGACAAATCCGTCTGCTTATGAAAATGTTTATAATCTACCGAAAAACATTTGTCTCGTATCGGAAAATAATACCATATGAATAACTATATCTCGGAGTTTTGATGGTAAATTATAAAGGAATATTGGTCACGTAAGTTCGCCCCTCGTGTCCTTTTATTACGTTTCGGTTGTAAGAATATAAAGCAGGAAGACAATATTTATACAAAACAAGCTGTCAAGGTTAAAGTTGTATAACGTTCGATTTAATGCAGCGATGTCTGGATAAAACGCATAAACGGAGTCGTTGTTGCGTAGTGAAGCTAGACAAGATGTCGGCTAGGTCACCACAGCATACGAAATGAACGAAATGTTATGGAACTTTCCATGAAGTTTTTTTTTCTGAAATTATATACTCAATGGTGGCTAATAAGGAATTTAAAGACATACGTTTAATGGTCCTGGGTATGTGTTAGATGTGTTTCTGAAAGGCGTATTTTGTTCACACGGTTTTAGTTTGCATTGCAGTGTGGTGCATGTGCATGGGTTGACGCATCGCGCTCGGATCTTTACATAAGGTGTGCGGGGTGCGGGGTGTGAGGCCGGGGAGGGGAAGGGGCAGAGGGCGAGGAAGTATGTAAAGCGCGTACATAAGACGCGGATCGATGTCGGGACCGCCGACCGCACCTCACTATGTACACTTATTTTTATCGGACTCGAAAATGTTGAGTTGAATCGGAAACTAAACTAAACACGAAACGAAAGCGTGTTAAAGCTAAAGTGAAAGTTTTTTTTTCGTAGTCATATAATAAAATTTCCTTAATAATTAATTATTATTTTAAAATGCAAGCTTTTTTATCGTGTAGCAATTAATATATCGTGTCACAAAACGAATAATTCGGTTTTAAGGATTAGCTTGATAAAATAACCGATGGACAAACAAAACCCCTCAATCGAAAACATCTATATCATCTATCAACTTGCACATACGCGCACCCCAGCGTCCTTGACGCATCACGGTTGTTCATATCTTCCCCATGTTTTACACGATACGTCCGATGTGTTACGAACACTTTCCGAACTCAAACTACGTTGTTTTTGTATTTGTCACGACGACTATTATGATGCCGTTGAAAGTCTTTTCGAAGAAAACAGCAACGGTGACCTTCAATTAAAAGAGAAATTATTCAGAAATACAAAAACATTACATACTTCGATATCAGCTGTTAGCCGTTTACACGCATTTTCTATTACGATTTACTGTTGTAAAACTAATCATTGAAATTGGTGGTATATATCTGATTTCCTATCGTCAGTTATTGTATTAAATCTAGCATACATTTGCTACCAAACCTGACCTAATAAAGGGTAAGGCGAAGTTGATTTTGAAATAATTTGATATTTTAAATTAGACGTATTACAGCTATGATGTTAAAAGGACAAAGAACGAACCCTTCCTCTAGCCGTGACTATACAGATTGGTAATTTTGAGAATACAATTAGGTTAACCGCAACATATCCTATGTAATCAGACTAATGCGTCGTGTAAATAGTAGGCAAGGGGATATAACGTAACGAATAATAATATAAATAGTTGATAATAGCAAAGCATAGTATGTCGGTAGCAATAGGGCCAGTGAACTGGGCTGGGCGGCACAGCAGTGCGCGAGTGAAACCCGGCCCGCTCGAGGTCAACGTACTGTTCATTTCGCTGCATCCGTTGCAAATATTCCGACGGGCAACGAGCATCGCGCATCGTCGTTGCCTGTTGCCACCGAGTCGCTGTGAATACGCCACTTTTCATTGCTTAGTCGACTGTTGAAAACTAGCCGCTAAGAAATCACGAAAGACATCGTCACTATATCCGACACCCACCACTATCTATGGTAATCTTTTGTATTTAGTGTTGTAGAGGCGATTTTTAAAAGCATTTTTAATTCACATAGAAATTAATAAAAATGACCTCCGAAAACACACTAAAATTTCGAAATACGTCGAATATTCTATGCACCCGATATTATTATTTTGAATAGAAATATAGGTGTCATAAGAATATTAATCCCACCCTACCTACTAATTAGATGTTGTTGAAATGTTTCCATCGTTGTTTTCCTTTGCAATGTTTCTATTACAAATCAACAATACTTACGTCAGCCATCTAGAATTTAAAAATCATCCTTATTGTTTGTGGAAATAAATATAAAAAGGTTCGCTTGTCGTGTGTCATCGGGAAATATAGATATTATTCATAATTGCTATGCCTGCTTTGCGAATTCATCAAAAACTTCATACGTCTTTCATTTTTCCAAATATTTTTTGTTTCCAGAAAAGGCAATAGCGTAATCAATAGTTTAGGACTCTAATTATATTTTCTTATGTTCTCCGAAAATATAAATGTATCGTACTTTGTATTTTTTGCATGTTCGCTTTCGCAAGCTGTTCATGGCCTTGATTTACGAAAATCTATTGAATCGTTTTCGAAACACGGTGTCTTTGCCTTTTAATGTTGTGAAATAAAACAATGGTGGATAGCCGAACAAATTTTGCTGGTTGTAGGCCGAGGGAATTAAGACAACTTGGAAATTGGATATCAGTCTCAGTTTTTATATTTTAGTAGATTACATTACATATATTTTTATGGTAGGTACTCTCATGGCAAAACATTCATCTCTAACTTCCCGTGTTTTTGTATCCAGGATAAGTTCAAAAAATCAAAGATAAGTTCTATTTAGCTAAGATAGGAAACTAAGAATGGTCGTTGTTTGCATCCTATATTTAAAAAATAATGCTATCAACGGCATCGAAGAGATATCAAAAATGTGAAGATTTTTTATGTTACATATCAAGGGAACGAAAAATTGTTATTGAAAGTTTTCTTCCTTGTTTAAGATTTTCTTTGGTTACTGGTATCTTATCTAAAGGTCACAACGCAACTTCATCTTTTATCTTCCGCATAATATTATAGGAAAAAAGAAAACAATATAAACCGGGTTTTTATTATTCTTGTTTCTAAATGTTAAAATCAAAATTTTTTTTAAAAAAAAAATCTATACTATAAAAACAAATGCGATGTAAAATATTGTACAAATGTTACCTGTGATGTACCTATTCAACTAATTTGCTGTAACTACACTCTTCTGTAGCGACTGTACCCAAGTTTTAACTATATTGCTTGTAAAATTGTTGCAATTGTTTGCCTTAATGTCTGACCATTTGGTTTCATTTAATTCCTCAACTGTTATTCACTTGATGTAGTCCTGATTAAGTGAAGGAAACGGTCATGATCGCGCCACGGGATTCCGTATTCGTAAGCGGGTATCCGTGGGCGCCTTATCGACCGCCGGAATCACCGAATCGCATTTCGCCACTCAACCCTTTCCAGCGCCTTCCACCCTCGCCTCACTTATTCACGAGCCACGCTAATGACGCTGCGCCGCCGCGACGGCCGGCTCACGTTTAGCCGCGTCAACCCCGCCAACTTATCTCTGCACACTACTTATTTTATAATGTACCTTTGTTTATTGTCCTTTAGAATGTAATATCTTAAGTTAAGACAGCAAAGACTCATGGGAACTTTATAAAGTTTGTATATGTTTAGTTGGTTTTTTCAACGTTGTTTGCTTTTCCTTTATTATCTAATATCTTAGTAATGATAAAAATTACCAGTTATGCAATATATTACGTTGTGTCAATTGTCATCAAGTTAACTGCTTGCTTGTTTGCTGCTTCCCTAATTTCTGTTCCAAAATGAACAATATTACTATCGTGATTCAACCAAGCAATGTATCACTAATATGCAGATATTACAAGTCATCCTATGCACAATATCACGAAAACGACTAGTTTTGTACCTGGAAAGTTTTGTTTAAACGTTGTAATAAAAGTCTGTCGTTGGCTGGGCGATGGTTCACCGCTTTTCGCCCGCGGGAACTGGTTTCGCGACGCGTTCCTG